ACACACACACACACACACACACACACACACACACACACACACACACATACACACATACGCACGCACGCACACACATACGCAAGCACACACACACATACGCAAGCACACACACACATACACACACACACATATGCACGCACACACACACATACACATACACATACGCACGCACACACACGTACACACACGCACGCACACACACACAAACACACACGCACATACACACATATGCACGCACACATACACATACGCACGCACACACACACCCATACACACACGCACACACACACGTACGCACACGCACGCACACACACATATACGCACACATACACACACGCCCCCACACACATACGCACGCACACATACACATGCACACACACACATACACACACGCACATATGCACGCACACACATATGCGCACACACGCACGCACACACATGCAAGGAAGCCTGAGGCTAGGCTAGCATTTTCCCTCTGCTTCCAGTCTTTGTGCTAAGCTAACCACATCCTGTACTGACACTTCAGATAAACCTGATAAGTTATTTGTATTTGTGTTGTATTATTGCTCCATGTTACAACTAAACAGAGTGAACTGTGTGTGTGTGTGTGTGTGTGTGTGTGTGTGTGTGTGTGTGTGTGTTTCGCAGCATGCGTCCAACCTGGAGCAGAAGCAGAACGAGACGGAAAACAAGAAAGTCCACGGAGACGTCGTCAAATACGGAACTGTCCTTCAGGTAAATCAGCGACAGGTCCGAGCACGATATTAATGAGCTGACTCATCGGTGTGTGTTCATGAGGCTGAAGGTGTGACACACACACGGGTTATGTAACATCACACTGCATCCATATGAACTGTGTCAGCTTACATAGATCTACTGTAGAAAGATCTCGTGCTGATTGAATCTTAATGTTATTTAACTTAAGATAATAAAGTATAATATTTACCTCTGAGATGTAGTAGAAGAGAAGTAAAAGTAACATACTATGAAAATACTCATGTACAAATACAAGAACATTGTACTTAAATACAGTCCTTGACTGACTAGCGCTCTGGTTGATATTGAGGAAGTAAAGGTTGAGAACTATATTGTGGGCGAGGAAACATCTGGACGAGTAGCATCGTTTCTTCTTCCTTTTTATCCCACATGTCGAGATTCATTTTGGTCCAGTTCTCCAGACATAAAGTCCACAGTAGAAACAATAAAACACAATTACACCTCATAAAACATTTTATAAAACACATTTGATCACATCTTCGTGGTGGGCTCTTTGTCCCGCCTCCTGCTCCACTGTGATTGGATCAGCTCTCTGCGTCACGCTGCTAGCGTTGGTAGCATAGCGTAAATGTGAGGATGCACTGACTGTTAGAGAACAAATCGACGCTAAACAACACAACTCAGTAGTTTCCTGTGGAGACAGACTTTGATTTTGAAAAGACTGTATTCATGTAACGACGCGTGTTGCTGGAGAGTAACTTTACATAATATATCATACGAGGTTTAAATATGTATGGAAATACTTTATCATATATTCTGGCTAACAGGAACACTCCATGCCATGGCAACATGTGTCCTCTGACTGCTCTGATACATGTGTGATCATTACTGTACCTGTCTGACACACACACACACACACACACACCCTGTCTTACTGCTTGGCTCTGTGTATCAACGTATCGCTATCTGTCAGTGGCAATATTGACCTCCTCGCTTCAGAGCTGAAGATCTGTCATCATAACACACACACGCGCACACACACACACACACACACACACATATACACACACACACACAGTGAATCTGGGTGTGGTTGCTGCTGAGTGAAACTGTGTCAGACTGTTAAGATAAAGATTCCTGCAGGAGAAAGGTGTGTGTGTGTGTTAAAGGTGTGTACACTGCAGTGTGAATGACAGCTGAACTCCACCTTTCCCGTTAACACACATGAAGCTGTTCTTATTCTTTATTTGTCTTCTTTCTTCTCATGTCCTCTCAGACTCGACGTGTTCGTCTCCTTCATGTCGACGTTGAACATTAAAAATATTTATTCTTAATTTACTTTTGATAGAAGTGGACGACTCAGTTCTTCTTCTGTGGTCTCCTGTTGAGCCGCAGTGGAAGTATGAATATTAATAAATGACAAGAACAGGAAGTTTTGTGTTTTTTTTCTGTCTTCTCTTCTCCTCTCCTTGTCTCCTCTCTCCTCCTTGTTTCCTTTGCTGGTCTCCTCAACCCTGTGTCCTCTCTCCTTTCCTTGTTTCTTTATCTTGTTTCTTTTCCTCTCCTTGTTTTCACTCCTGTTCTCTTCTCCTCCTCCTCTATTCCCTTAGTCTCCTCTTTCCTCCCTTCCTCATCTATCCCCTCCTTGTTTCCTCTCCTTGTGTCCTCTCCTCTCCTTGTTTCCTCTGATCTGCTCGTGTCCTCACTTCTCCTTGTTTCCCTTTGTTGTCTTCAATCCCTTCTTCTCTTCTCCCCACCTTGTCTCCTCTCCCCTCCTTCCTTCTCCTCACCTCTGCTTCCTGAAGACGTCAGTCTTTATAAACACAGATAGTTTCTTCAGTGATTTACTGGAGTTGTTTATCAAACAAACAGGAAATAGACACTTTCTTGAGGGACTATTTTCCGCGGCGGATGAATCCACATGAAGAACATCTCCAGACTGATACTTTAGTGTTTCTATCAAACATCTAGAGACCGTAAACGTCCGTGTTGTCTGTCTCCAGCTGCTCCACATGAAGAGCAACAAGTACCTGACGGTGAACAAGCGTCTGCCGGCTCTGCTGGAGAAGAACGCCATGCGGGTCACTCTGGACGGGACGGGGAACGAGGGCTCCTGGCTCTTCATCCAGCCCTTCTGGAAGCTCCGCGCCAACGGGGACAACGTGAGGACACCTCTTACTGCACACACACACACACACACACACACACACTGCAGGACGCTGGCTCTGTCTCCGTGTTCATGGTCCCCTGAGGATGAATCTCCTGATGATGTTGGTGACGTTGTGACCATCGGGGCAAACGTTACACTTTAAAATCTACTCGTCAGATTTCTTAATTTGTTCGTATCACCAACGACCTTTTCTCAAAAAGATAGAATAATTATAACAATATAGTAATATTTATAGTATGAATAATAATAAAAATAGTAATACACATAAATGTGTATGTGTGTGTGTATATATATATACTGTATATATCAGTTCATACCTGGGCCTTCACTGCTGTCCTGCAGCTGAAATACCACCTAATAACCTCATGATGGCGCCACAGCTACGGTTATTATTCGTTTCTAGGGCTGTAACGATACACGTATTCGTATTAAACCGTTCGGTACGAAGATTACAAACCGAACAATACGTTTGAATAATACTAGTGCATTTGGAAAATGCAGAAGCTTAAATTATGGGAAATATAATGTTTTCTGCGCTCACGTAGGAGACAACTTTCTGTGTGACCTCTGAACCGGAACAAAAAAAAAACACAACAAAAAACAGCAGAGTTACCGCACGTGTTCTGGGAGGCTACGCTAACTAGCTTAACAGGAAAACAACAGCAGCAACACGCATTCTGCTACACACTGTAGGGCCATTCAGATATTAGATGTAAAAACACAAATGCTGTTCACTTAAAGACAAACTCCATCCTCCTTTCTTTGTTGACCAAGACTTTAATCCGGTTAAATCCCAACTCACAAATCATTTCTCCTCCTTCAGCCATTGAGTGTTAAATAAACAAAGCTCGGTAAAAAAATAATAATCTACACCAAGCAAAACGCAAAAAATGTCATAATTTCTTCCAAATCTTTCAATTTGAACTCTGACTACTCCGACTAAGCCTCTGATGTTATGTTTTGTTTCACAATAGTCACGTGCTCGCCCACTGACCAATCACAGCGCACGCTGCACCTCACTGCAGAGCTGCACCTGAAAACTGAGCTGCACGTAATGCTGACATACTTGTAGGCCAGCTAGCAGGCTCTGATACGTCAAAGAATACGCCCAACATGTCAAACTAAAGATCTGATTGGTTGAACACTATGACAATCAACAATATCGTCCCCATTCACTTTAATCTGCACTGGCTGCAGGTGAGAGTCTGCAGGCCTCTGCCTCTGTTCTTACCTAGAGACACAGAGGTGAGATCTGATTGGATAAAAGCTCTACTTAAAACAAGCTGCACTGGAAGCAGAGCAACTGAGGAAGACAG